CCGCCGGCGTAGCCCCGGCCTGCGTTCATTTTTTTATTTTTATTTTTTTTGAATTGGGTTTTTTTTTTTCAGCTTTGCGCTCTCTCTCTCTCTCTCAGTTATTGTAAGACATTATTATATTATTTTGTTATAAGATGAATAAGGGAAAAGGGCGGAGAGAGAAAAAGTTGGCACAGGAACGCTTGTCTCGGCACGTGCTTTTGCACGTGTAAGAGAGAGTTGAAAATCTAACAATACATTCAAGTCTTTGAATCAAAATAAATCCCAAAATTGGGACTAAGGCCTGTTTGGTTATTTCCTAAAAACCAAGAAATGGAAATGGAAAAGGTGAAAATCTCAAAAAGTACTATTTCCTTCATTTCCATCCCTAAAACTCACCCACAATATCCAATAAAATATTATTTTCATCTAACAACTCATCCACATCATCTAATAAAATATTATTTTCATCTAACCACTCATCCATCACATCTAATAAAATATTATTTTTATCTAACCACTCATCCATCACATCTAATAAAATATTATTTTCATCTAACAACTCATCCATCACATCTAATAAAATATTATTTTTATCCAAACATCACTCAACTCATCTCTTTTCATCATTTCAAATCACTCACATCATCCAATAAAATATTATAACAATTCACCTCATCTCATTAACATTTTATTTCTTTGTTTTCATCCCAAAAAGTTGTGAAAACACTTTTCTTAATATTGGATCACATCACCCAATAATACAATGACAACTCATCTCATCTCATTTCATTTCTTATTTTTAAGAATGAACCAAAACAAAAGAAAACAACAAACTACAGGAAATAGGTTTCTTATAATTCATTTCCTTATTTTTTTCGCCAACCAAACAACATCAAAACTAGTTTTCTTAAAAAATCACTCACATCATCCAATAATAATATGACAACTAACATCATTTCATCTCCATTTTTTTTATTTCCTTCTTTTTTTAGCCAACCAAACACTCCCAAACCAATTCTTCATTTTAATAGTTTTCCATTTCTTTGATTTCCCTTTTTTTTTAGTAAAACAAACAGGCCCTAAAGGCATTGTTCTCCATTGTACTATTATGATTTTGCAAAAGAGATTATTTTGTTGTGCGAAATGGAGCTCCAAATGTAAATATTATCGTCGAGGATTTGTAATTTTTATATTTGTTTTGTCATGGGACTCAAGCAGTACAGACGTGGCAAGATCTAAAGAACCAATACGAGATGAGATAAGACGTATATTGTCGAACATCAATAATAGTTTGAAGTAGGGAAGGAAAGGTGGTCTTGGAGCTATCCTTATTGGTGTTCGAATAGTTAATAAGTTTGACACTAAACGTGTGCATGTTTATAAGTAGATAAGTTGGGTTGCCAGAGCTCGGTTTTGATCAAAGGCCCTCAATTTAGCCGATTATAGTTAAGAAGATGACAAATTATAATAATATAAGAGGCTTTTGACTTTGACAAAATGAATATTATAGTTAAAAAGATGACAAGCTATAATAATATAAGAGGCTTTGAACTTTAACAAAATGGATATTAAAGTAAATTGGTTTAGAAACATCTTCATGTCTTTTCACTCCCAGCTTGAGGGAATCTATCATAAGGAACTGGATTTCCCCACCAAAAATAAAAGATTCAAAGGATGATGAAGTCAACATGGCTAACGGGATCCTCTTATGATGGGAATTGTACCTCACTGGCGGTGATTGGCGATAATCCTCTTCCTTCTATTACATGTCTATAGAAATATACTCGAAAATAACATAGAGCAATTGTATACAAGTGTATTTCCCAGGAATAGATACTTTATAATTCATAAGAAAATGATACGTAAAGCAATGTAAGTCCTCACAGATTTACAAACTTGTCAAACGATCCGACAAAACTTTCTCATACTAAACTAAAAAAAATTGTGAGAAAGATGAGGAAGTATCTTAGAAGTAAAGTGAATGGAGTTAAAATTAAAACAATTTACAAATGCGAAGTCGTCATTTTGTTCACACCATTTTTAAGGGGAAGACGCGGTTCCGGTCGTAACTGACTTGAACAAACTTAGTTGCTTTAAGTCGTGTTGTACGCTATCAAAAAGTGAAAACTATTCAACAAAATTAATTAAACATAAGTGTAGGCCTTACCAAGGATATTTTGGTTATTTGATATTATCAAAGGGCTCAACAAAGTCAAAAGTGTTTATAAAAATTGGCTTAAGGTTAGACAATCCCAAAATCTTAATCAAACAAGTTGAAATCTACTCAAACTTGGTGATAGCTCAATTGAGCGTGGGCCAAACTCAACATGAGTCAAACTTTGCATAAATAGATTCTAGGCATGAGCCAAACTCTATGTGATCCAGATTCTAGGCGTGAGCTCAACTAGGTGTGAGCCAAACTTTGCACAAATAGATTTTTGGCGTGAACTCAACTAAGCGTTAGCCAAACTCAAAATGAATCAAACTTTGTGTAAACATATTCTAGGTGTAGACACATCGAGTGTTAGCCAAACTCAACATGAACCAAACTCAGCGTGAGCAGATGTCATATCACCAAATATCTACATTAAATGTTTAATATTTGAAAGTATAGTGGTATGTAAATGTAACTCAACATGGCTCAGGATAGTCCAAACTTGTTCGACTTTTGTAACTCGGCCTGGCCACAAAATCGAAAAGGTAGTGTATGTGTAGCAATAAATGCTTGATTGATAGCTTTTACATCATGACAATTGAGCATGGGTAAACTCAGTCTAGAACCCAAATCAATTCAGCAAAAAGCACAAATCTAAGTATATATATACCTAATTTCATTAGCATTTGAGTGAGATCTCTTCTTCTTCTCTCATTCAGCCCATATCTGGGCATGACACCCCTTGACTGCTGGGTTATTCCCACACCATGGCTACCGGCAATAGGTTATCCTTGCGCCACCATGCCAAACTCTTGAGACCCAAGAAATTTATGCCTTCAAACACTTGATTTTCAATCTCATGTTAGGATTCTTTTTTTTTTTGTTGCCTCAAAAGCTTAGCTCTTAGCATGTTAACAAGATGATCTATTTTCAATGAGGTGGGTTCCACATCAACGAAGCTCCCTTTAACTCCAAATCTGACAACAAAGAATAGCTTCAAGAATAACGACGTCCTTGTGATCAACAGAGCCAAGACCTATTATCTTTCGACATAGTTTCCTAGATTCAAAGCTTGCAATTTGTGTCTTTAAGTGAAGAAGTGGGAAATTGTAAATCTTCAAATATATCAATAAATTATAAATTTTTGACCTGAAAACAATAGCGACTCTGCTAGGGAGGAGCTTTTCCATCATCAAAAAAGCTAGTGTTGTAGCAAAACATAGAAGTTGTTGAAAAAGTTTGAGTTTGGATAAAAATAATAGTGCGCGTGGGTGGCAACCCATTATGGTTCTGACCCTGTGTTACACCAACTCCGAGTTACAATAGTACTCCACGCTAAGTTAGCCCAAAGAGCCACATTGAGTTTTCAAAATAGCTCCATGTAGAGTTAGAACTAGAGAGCCAAGCTGAGTTTCAAAAGCAGAAATTAAATTACACACAAAAAGAAAATTTTTGTTGGGGCAATATTTCATTGGGCTCAACAATAACTAATGAGCTCAACCCTCAAAATCTAGTCAAAGAAAAATATTTTGTTGGGGTCAACAATGAGAACTCCACATGGTTAGGGGAAATCAAACACTCAGATAGATAGAGGTAACTCTAAGAAAGCCACTGAAGCTACCAAGCCAATAGTTGAAGCCATCAACACCAAGAGTTGCTACACATAATCAGCATAGTATTTTAATTAACATGAAGTAGGTGATGTAGTAATTCATGGACATACAAATGATGACCCTCTCTTAGAACTTCTAAGCCGGGGTCAGATTACGAAAAACCCTGCATAGTTGACGAGTTGGATGTGAAGTTGTGAACTTTCCACTAAATGCCAACATAGGGAGTGGAGGTACTATCACTGCTTGTGGTTGATTTAATCTACAAGAGGGGGTTGTCTACACTAGAATAGAGGTTGAGTCCATTTGTTAGCTATTGACATTGTTTGTCTATCAATAGTTGTGACTAGCTACATTGTCTTGATACATGCAAAGTTATACTCTCTTGATACATGCGAAGTTATGACTAGTGCGATCTTGCAACCTCATGACCCATTTCAACGGTTGGGCTCAAATCCAGTTTAAAATACAAAGTAGAGTGCAGAGTTATAATAACACAAGCTTACAACTTTGCATCTCTAATTATACAATAAACATATGACAGCTCGACCCAATAGTCTGTGCCTCAGACTGCCTGTGTTAGCGGCTTGCTTGTTCAACAAACCCCTCATATTCCGCCACTCCAACTTAGTTCTATCAAGTTCAACAATCAGCACATTAATTGTATTGTGAAGCCTCTCGCACTCTAGTTAAGAGCTCCAACATGATTGATATGCACTCTTTATCACTCTATAAGCAATGATTCTCGGCCTTAAGCCCCTACATCATTTGGAAGAGACTAGCCATCACTTAGTTCAAAATAACAAAAGGAAGAAGCATTGCAGAGGAATAGTAATCTCTCTACAATTTATAGAAGGAGGGACTGATTGATGATTGACACGAGTAATTGAACCCTCATAATCAAAGAGTTGCATGGAAAAATGTCAATGGACGTAAACCGCTACAAATTCTAACATGACTGTATGAATTCTGAAGACATATTGACCATGTTTAAGTGCACACATAGAGATTGAAAGCTATGCTTAAAACAAACTGCGCCCAGTTTAGTTTGGGTATGCCTAGAACAGCTATGCCCAAAATTTGTTTTACTACACTCAGACTAGCTATGCCTTGGACAGCTCAATTACACTTAGTTAGCTACACACAAATCAAGTTAGCTATGCTCAATATAGCCAGGCTCGGATCTCCAAGTGCATAACTAGTTAAAATTGCTCTAAATAAAAAGCAATAC